CATAATATACTTGCTTAGGAGCTCAGACAGGGAAACCACAATGCCTAGCTCACTCCCACACACATGCATGAAGAAAAAGGTTCCCAATTCCTGCGACATCACAAGGCCCCACACCATGACTTGATGCCTGACCCCAGGCATTGGGCCCCAGATATAATGAGGGGATGGGGAAAATAACCCTGTGGCAGCCCCTGACAAACAAGACAACACTTCAAAACCATTCCAGAAAAATACTTTTATTGGTTTTGGAAAAAGAGGCTAAACGGGTATCCTCAGCGGAGGCAACAACCTGGTTCAGCTCCAGCAGGATGTCTGCCTTCTGGTCCCTCGCACCCCCCTGGGGAAGAGGAAGCTTCGGGCCCTGCAAGAGAAAGAGAGAGAGAAAAATCAATGACTAAGGGGCGAGCTTGTCCGCTGCCATCAACCGGCTTCAACCCAGGCGTATCCACCCACCAATGTTCTGCCAACTTCATCCCAAAGTTCTGCCTGCCGACATCCACTGGCTTCCCCCAGGAATATCCACCTGTTCATCGCTTCCAATCCGCAGGCAGATTCCACCACCTTCTGTCTGCCAACGTCTTCCCCTGGTCCATTGCCAACATCAGCCAGCTTCAAGCCACACCTTGGGCAGAAGGACTGGGTCCCCTGCAGCAGCCGCCCTGGCTCTCTCTGCTGGACTGCCCTCTGCCCTCTGCCCTCCCTTCTGGTCTCCTGCCCTGCCCAGCAAGCCCCTTTTATCTGCCAGCAGAGAGATGGTGCTCTGTGAGGTCACCAAGACCCAGGAGAAAAGGGATTGGGTTCCCAAGGCAACAGCACAGAAGGGCTGGGTCCCCTGCAGCAGCCGCGCTGGCTTTCTCTGCTAGACTACTCTCTGGCCTCTGGCCTCCCTTCTGGTCTCCTGCCTTGCCCAGCAAGCCTCTTTTATCTGCCAGCAGAGAGGTGGTGCTCTGTGAGGTCACCAAGACCCAGGAGAAAAGGGATTGGGTTCCCAAGGCAACAGCACCAGCACCCTCGGGATTGGCTGAGTCCTGAAGATGATGTCAGCAATCCCTCTGATCATGTGATTCAACCACAAAAGCTTGCCTTTTGCATGTATTTTAAATTTTATACAGTATATAACATACTAATTATTATTAGTTCAATATTGTTAGTTTTCAGCATCCATGGGGGGGAGCTTGTAACCAATCCCCCACAGATATGGGTTTCCGACTGGATTTCTGATGCAGAGACCGTGTTTTCCAGTTCTAAAATCACTCTCCATGTCAAATTGTATACGTACATAGTGTATCATGCATAACTGTACAAAGTGCTTTCTTAGCAAAATGCTGAAATCAAGTCACATCCAGATGAATTTACACACCTACTGACAGAAGAAGGGGAATACACTATAAAATTATGCAGAAGATGAATAAAGTGGCACCCTCTATTTGCTTAATATTAAGAATGGCCCTAATTTTTTTTATAGTGTCCTTATTATTCCTAGATGGCCAAACTCAAAATATGATATTTCGGAAATCCTGTTTGACCCACTGCTTATTGGTATGCAGTGTCCCTCAGGGCTCAGTCCTCTCCACCCATTTCATCAACATTACTTTAATGCACTGTTAAGCGTTTCTCCAGAGGTTTGTGGTTTGGTGCCATCAGTATGCTGATGGCACCCAACTCTATATTTCCTTCCTATATGATTCCAAGGAAGATATTCTGTGCTTAGACCAGTGTCTGTTGTCAAAGACAGACTGGATGAAGGCTAACAAACTGAAACTTAATCCAGACAAGACAGAGGTGGTCCTAGTCAGTCACAAGGCAAATCAAGGGACAGGAAGTCAGCCTGTACTGGATGGGGTTATACTCCCCCTGAAAAGTCAGGTCTGCATCTTGCATGTGCTCCTTGGCTCAAACCTGAGTGTGGATGCCCAGGATTTAGTGGTGACCAGGAGTGCATTTGCATAATTAAAGTTGCTATGCCAGCTTGATATGTTCAATCTGGCCACAGTGACACGTGCCTTAGTTATGTCCCATTTAGATTACTGCAGCATATTTTACACGGGACTGCCTTTGAAGAGTGTTAGGAAACTTCTGCTGGTTTAAAATGATGCAGCCAGACTGTTAACTGGCACTGTTCTAGGGAGCATGTAACTCCCTTATTACCGCAGGTTCACTGACTGCCAGTCTGTTTCTGGTCCCATTTCAAAGTGATTTTTATTATCTATAAAGCCCTATATACAGTAGCTGGGGCCCAAGCTGTTTGAAGGATTGTATCACCTTCTCAGCTTTTAAGATCTTCTGGGGAAGCCCTTCCCTGGGTTCCACCACTTCTCAAGCTAATTTGGTAAGGATATGAGAGCCTTCTCAATGATTGCTCCCAGGCTTGGGAATGCACTGCCCCAAGAAGCCAAGTTGGCCCTCTCCCTATTGTCCTTCCATCATCAGGCAAAGAAAGACCTTCCTCTTCAAGCAGGCTTTTAAGCAGGAAGTGCCTCTGGAATGTTGTTGTTAACTTACAGATTTTAAAACGTTTTAATTTTTTTTTCAATATTGTTTTTTAATCTTAATATATGTTGAATAGTTTTAAATACGATGTTTATATAGTGCTTTTAATACTGTCTTATCATTTTCGTTTTTACCCTGTGGGGAAAAAGGCTACATACAAGAAACAAAAATGAATAGCTAAATAAATCTTAGCAAGGTGACACTTGCACCAGGCACTACTGTGAATTTGAACACTTGAGGTGGTGACTTAGTAGTACCCATATGTGAGGCTAAAACCAACCTCAGAGGTGGCCCAAGAGGTGTAAAGCCGGTCTCTTCAAGAGGAAACCACGAGGGACAGCTGGCAGACATAATGAAAGACTTACAACGGTTAAACAGAAGGGTAGAAACAATAGGGGGTGCCATTTCAGCGGGAAAAGAGGAGAAAAAGAAAGAAGTAGGAAATCAAGAGGAAACCACGAGGGACAGCTGGCATAATGAAAGACTTACAATGGCTAAACAGAGGGATAGAAACAATGGGGGCGCCATTTCGGCGGGAAAAGAGGAGAAAAAGAAAGGAGTAGGAATGCAAGGAGGGCAGTTGGAGGAGGAAGGGAGGGAGGAAGCATGCTGGATGGAGAAGACAGAGAAAAAGGAGGATTTAGTGGATTTGGTTGAAGAAGACCTCTGGACAGGGGAATGGGTGGAATTTAAATTTCCTCGAGAGTATGCAGAGGAGTGAAAAAGGCAGATACTGTATATAGGAAGCCACCCTATTGGGGTGAGACGGAAGAGAGAGAAGAGAGAAAGAGATATAAAGTATGGATACAGAGGGAGGTTCAGTGGAAAGAAAACAAACAAAATATAGAGAGATGTGGGAGACCCCTGTGGGGCCAGTCCATTTCGTCCCAGTTTGAGACCTACGCCGGGCAAGAAGGTTTGGGAGCCACAGGTGGGCTGGATCTTTCACCCCTCACCCCAAAGCAAAAGGCGTTATCTTCAGGGGACTTGTTATCTGAGTTTGACAGTTATAAACCGGTTTTGAATTCATCACCCTTCACTAGGAAGAACTTGTTGTTTAAAGAAGACAAATATGGCGCTGTTTCTGTGAAATCAGAGACAGATGTTGTTGTTGAAAAAAACCATGAAACCTTGTTAAACCATAAATATGTTTTATTAGAAAATACTGAAGTGGCCGATTCATCTTTGCATCGAGATGTCACATTCGGAGAAGCGGGGGCTGAAAATGATCACACCATATCCCAAGTATAAGAAGAAATATTGTACTTCTAAAAAAGAAGCTATATTTGGCCCCCAACAGTGGCCATGAAACTTCAGGGAATTTAAACATATAATTTTGGAGCTACCTACAAGAACTTGGTGTACAGCCTGAGGAAGATGGATTATCATTGAAAGCTTGTTTTGTTTTTTCAATGGTCAAATAAAGGTATCAACTGCTCCTGATTTTTTCTGAACTTTTGAAAAAGATTGTGGGAGTCTACAAAAATTTATGCCAATGAAAGTTGTTAAATGTTAAGGCGATGCAAGGCTCTTTGTTGCTTTTGCTGCAGAAAATTAACTCAACTACACTTTTGGAAATTATATCCCAGGCATGTTGATTCAGAAGGAAGTCTCATTGTAGTCAACGGATTGCGGTCTATAAAGTGAAGTAAGTGTGTATAACTGTATTCCCTTTGATAGATGAAGCTGGAAACGTATTGTGCAATTGTTTGCTCCACTGATTCAGTGGGTATTACTCCCACCACAGTTTGCATAGGATTTATGGTAACTCTGATAGTCATCAAATTCTAATTATTTTGATTTAATCAGTACCAGACTAGCAGAAGCTTTTTCAGTCCATGAGATGAACCTACACTCACAAACCTGCTCAGGCTGATTGGTAATTAAAAATCACACATTCAAAACCAAGATATTAGTCAAGCCTATTATTTCATAAAATGTGTGGGAAGAGCATGGAAAGTATCACTATGACTATGTTGAGGGAGGCTGACAGGGGTAAAATATCTTTGTTGGTCCTCCTTGACATCTCAGCGGCCTTCGATACCGTCGACCACGGTATCCTCCTGGGGAGGCTCTCTGAGTTGGGTATCGGTGGCTTGGCTCTGGCCTGGTTCCGTTCCTTCTTGGAGGACCGGCCCCAGAGAGTGCAGCTTGGGGAGAGTATTTCGGCCCCGTGGAGTCTCAAATGTGGGGTTCCACAGGGGTCGACTATTTCCCCAATGCTGTTTAACATCCATATGAGGCCGCTGGGTGGGGTCATCAGGGGGTGTGGAGCATCGTGTCATCAATATACTGATGACGCCCAGCTCTACATCTCCTTTTCACCAACTGCAGGTGATGCCGTCCTGTCCCTTCAGCGCTGCCTGGAGGCTGTACTGCAATGGATGCAGGAAAATGGGCTGAGGCTGAATCCGGATAAGACAGAAGTTCTAAGGGTGGGTGCCCCCATGCCTGGCGGCTTGGGCAACTCTCTCACATTTGGGGGGGGGACCCTGGCCATGAAGAGCGGGGTCCGCAGCCTGGGGGTACATCTGGACCTGACGCTCACCATGGAAACACAGGTGGCGTCAGTAGTTCACACAGCCTTTTTCCACCTATGGCGGATTGCCCGGCTGCGGCCATATCTCGACACGGGGGCCCTCACTACCTTGGTATATGTGCTCGTAGTCTCAAGATTAGACCACTGTAATGCACTCTACGTGGGGCTGCCTTTGAGGCTGATACAGAAACTCCAAGTGGTGCAGAATGCGGCAGCCAGACTCCTTAGCGGAGTGAGAAAGTACCAACATATTTCTCCTATTCTGGCCGTGCTGCACTGGCTGCCCATTCGGTTCCGCATTGACTTCAGAGTATTAATGCTTACTTATAAAGCCCTAAACGGTTTAGGACCTCGATATTTGACGGAACGCCTATTCCCACCAAGGTCTACCTGTATCACTCGCGTGAGTCAGGAGGTGAGGCTGAGGAGCCTGACGCCGAGAGAGACCCAGAAGGAAAGAACTAGAAGCCGGGCCTTCTCTGCAGTGGCTCCTCGCCTCTGGAACAATCTCCCTCCAATGATTCATGTGGCCCCTTCACTGGGTATCTTTAAAAACCAACTGAAAACATGGATGTTTGTACAGGC